AGGGATAATTTCAAATAAAAGTAGAAGCCTTATTTGCTCATATTTTCAAAAAATGCAATAACGGTATATCATTATTTAGATATTTGAACTTAAGTTTTAAATTTAGCTATTCTTTGAAAAATAAACCTGTTTATTGTGTACTCTTACCTATTACTAAACTTTCTAAAGCAAAATTGCAAGTTATTAAGCTTGTTAGGCGCAGACTCCTTAGGAAAGCTAAATCAATATAAATGCAAAGAGCTGAGTTGACGAATTACATTTTTATCACAATTGTCATTAATTCGGTTAGTCCATGTTAAAAAATTCAAATAATGCTGTTTTTTTAAAGAGTGGGGGTGACGAACGGGCACATAGTCACAGTGCAAGAGCTTTGACGTAGCCCACCTGGCGGCTGCGCCCCCTTTTCCCTAAAGAGGGTCGCTTCCAATTCGGCAGAAAAGCTACAAAACCCAATGCCAGTCTCACAGTTGGTATTTAGTGGGTAGGCACTTAGGTTAGGTTAGTCGCAGGGAGTCCCACATAACCACGACAGCCGGCTGTCGTGGTTATGTGGGTTATACATATCAACGCCTACATCAATTCTCGACTATAAATCAAAATGCAGATGCATCGTTGTCATTCCTGAGGACTTAGATTTGAATGCTTAGTTATTAGAAAAACGGTCTTCGGTTCTCATCACATACCATAAGAAACACAGCAGCATTACACCCCTACGTTAAGTACCGTCATATTTTTAACAAAAATCGTGTCTGTGAAGTAGTATACCTATTATGGTTTATTTATTACATGTCATTACAATTTTTTTTTAAATTGGTTTATGTACTAAAAATGTAAAACAATTTATTGTAAGATACAAAATGTACTTAGTTTATTGCACTAAATAGGTACTTAATGAAAGTAATTACGGTGATACTAAAACAAAAACATAAGAATATCTGTTAATTCGTAATGTGATAGACTCATGCATGCCTATGTAGATTATATATTTTAGTAAATACAATTGTATTACCATAGAGTACGTCGGATATTTATTTATGCATTTTGAATTTTATCAAATTGCATATTTATCCATTTAAAATGGCTTTGTTGTTTTTATCTTAAAAACCTATTTAGATAACAATATAAAATACATAAGAAAAATATGTGTACGTACAGTTTACTAGAAATGAAGTGCGGGCCAGTATCGTAAGCAAGATTTAAATTTTAACTATATTTATTTGATTTTTACTGATCTAATTTTAATTAAAAATTATTACTTACTAGGCAGCTAGTAGGTACTATTATTAAACCCAAAACACCCTGTGCTTAGAAGCGCTATAAAGACTTGCATACCTTCATGATAGATAAAACAGTGTAGGATAACATACAATAATTTTATGATCGCGTCTCAATTAACATTTTCGGCTAAAGCCGACCTGATTGAATTGTGAATTGTGCGCTTAATAGCATTATGTCAATATACTAAAATTACTTGATTGGTAATGGCATTAATGCAATACATACTACACAATGGTCTGACTCAAAAAATAATAAAAAAATGATTGAATTCATCATATGGCAAATGGAATTTGCAATTATAGTCTTATTAAAATAGCCCCACATTTCTACAAAATCCTACGCAGCTTTGCTTGTTTCAATCACATCACATCATATTTTTTATGGATTTCACGTGACAACGGAAAAAAGTTAGTTTGTAAATTAAAAAAATTTACATAGGCATCTGTGAAACCTTTTATGATTTTCTGAGCTTTAACTCAAAATATAAAAATTAATATGCCTGTGTGGCTTAATTATATTGGTCGCCTTACAAATTAGCTTTATAATGAGCACATCTTTGCGATCTTTAACATTTCATACAACTTATAATTATTTCATATAACAAATCATTTCATAAGGTGAGATAGAATTTATTTATACACTGGCTTAAAGTAAAAACAAACGTTTGTCAATAAGATCGTAGTTGACGATTCGCCAATGTAAGCAGGCAAAAGTCTTAGACCATACATCTAATCTCTCTAATTTGTATTTAGTTAACTAACTTCTTCACATTATGCTAATACGTCACATGGCGGACTTCTTGGGAAATTCTGGCGACAGCTCAAACGAGCGGATAGTTGATGACGATAATATCTCAAGGCCCTTAAGCGGATAAAAAATCAAAGATTTATATAATCAACGAAGCACTTGTTACATCGTTGTTACAAATAGTTCAAATGCGCAGATATTTGAAACACAACCGCACAACTTTTATGCACCAATATTTACTTCCAAACCATTATTTAAATGATAAATTAGGAGCAACAATCTGCCGACCGTCACGTTTCCGCCAAAACTCCCGTAGGCAACTGTATTAAAATTATGTATAACATCGAGAAAATGTTGTTAAAATATATGAAAAATACACGTTTTAAATATCAATAAGGTCTAAAGTAATAACAGTTTATGTTTTGCTGGAGAAATTAGGCACAATTTAAGAATAAAATTTCAATTGTTGTAACACCTACATAAAAATAACAGGAAAAGTGTTAATCGCAAATCTTAAAAACAAGGGGGATAGGCCAAAAAGGCGTGACGCGTGACGCTTTGATATGTGCAAAATGATCAAACAGCTCACAGCAGTCCATAGACTCCTGCAGCCATCTTCATACGAAGAGCTACAGATGTGTTGTTACATCTGAAGACCAAGATGGAATACCTCACAGCCTATTGATTCTTGAATCTACTTTAAAAATGCGCAAAAACGGGACAAATATTAATCCCGCACTGAACGATCATGTCTTTGGATATGAGTCATTTGAGGCACCTTCGTTTCGATAAAACAAAAACATTGAGTAAATGTGACCTCAATCGGTCTAATCGGAAGGATCACTAACAGACGCACCTATGATTATATATTAAATAAAGAAATAACTAACAAATATTTTAGGTTCCTGAACCACAGTTTTACATTTTTACATAAGTTCGGGTCGGGAGCCTATGGGTTAATTTAAATACATGTTGTAATAATTTTATGTCAAATAAAACATTTGTCTATTCATTTATTTACTATACTATTAAATACACTAATTTCATGGACATTTTAATATGAGTATATTAGCTTTGCTCGTTTTATTTGTGCTACAGATTTATAGAACTTTTCCAAAACATATCTAAATGTGAACATACAACGTTCGCTTTATTCGGTTTCGCTGATAAAGAGTTGAGATCTGAACGGGTGTCATGCTCTAAAGCAAAGTCAAAGTCAAAATATTATACTTTTGTTTGGTTGGCTAGATGACAGCACTTGGGCGTGAACAATTAATTACCTATGAACTAAATACTCCCTTGTTTTTATGATCTGTGGTGTCAACGTGTCCGTTGTTTATACTACAGGATGACATCGTTAGTTTATTAGTATTTTAGGATAAGTTTGTACCTACAGTAAGTAGAGTACACCGTTAAACGTTAACGATTGTACATAAATCGCTAATTAACGCTTATTTAAATTATTATCTTTATACTTGTCTCTTTCTATTGCGATTAGAGAGATAGAGAGAGAGATAAATAGATAGAGAGACAGAGAGCAACTTTAAGCAATGCTTAAATTGACATTGATTTTTATGAATAAGGCCGTAATAGTTTAAAGTTTAAACTATATTTATGTGTAAAAATTAAAATTAACAACGATATTAAAAAAAAAGTAATTCGCTATTTTATTTTACTTTTTTTGCAAAATTTTAACTAGTATTGACAGAATTCAATATCATTCGTGCACATAGGCAATTTCTTTTTAATTTTAAGAGGAGGTGATTATGCAGTGGATAATGTTATTTTATAGACAACATAACTTTTAATTATATATATAAATAATTAAAATAACGAAAATCTTAATGCTCTTTGATGTATATCCAAATTCCTTATTGGTCAGATTTAAGATTTGAATTTAGGCTTTTGGAAAATTAGGTATTACAAATTGTGATTTAAATGTTTTGCATAAGATTTAATTTCTATTTATTTCAAAAAAAAGCCTGTAATAATTGTATCTATATTTATGAATAGTATCTTATAAAGTTCGTTATATAAGTACAATTACGAAATTCTACAACTACGAAAGCAAATAACTAGTGTGCTCAGCGTATAATAGTAGGTTGTAGCAAAGCAACGAACATTTTCTTACAAAATTGTATCTACAGAGATTTGAGATGAGGTGTACCTATTAGTTCTCGCAATTGACCAAATTACAAACCTATTCCTACCTTAAAATATTCTAACACCTACTCAGCGAATGAAATGAATATGATAGAATTGAAAATTAACATTTTTTTATGAATTGATTTACTTTTGAATTTAACCATGTTGTTCCGCATTTCTCTGAAGGTAACTGGTCAGTTCATATTACTACTATTTTTATTACCAGATATGTTATCTTCGTATTATGTACTTATTACAATTCCAGTATTTTATGTGCAAATTAATTTTACATATAATAAAGGCACGGGCATTTAACTTACATTTAGCAATTTGATAAACACTTTAAATAAAAATGGTTAATAAAAGAAATATGTATTTTTTAATTAAAGAAACAAAAACTATAGTGTTGCAAATTTTATTCTTAATTAAAATATGTAATATGTAAATATAATAAAAATATTTTGGGATATTTTTGGTTTAAGTATGTTATAGTATAGTCGTTAACAGTGGTGAGCAAGGGGGCGGATTTTAGGAATGAAAATGTTTTTAAACGATAACAACAAAAATCGTACAAAATCTAAAAAAAAAACTAACTGTTACTGAATACATTTCATAAAATATTAGCAGCAGTGTAGCATTGCAAGTCTGAAAATAGATATAACACACAAAGACTAAAGAAAAGTTTAATCTATTAAAAATTTTAAAGATACTTCCGGGTGAGATGTCTTTTTTGACTCTAGCAACCCAAGATGGCTGCTACCCCTGCTACGCCACTGGTCGTTAACGAGGCAATACATCTTAAGGGTAACTAAACACATTATAGGTTGAATATGGGAAAGTTAAGGTTTTTACGATCGGGAGTCGCCCTATCAGATCCTGGGCTGTACGCCTGTATTCCTGAAAGGTTACTTGTCTGTGGGATTAAAAGATGATAAATGCTGACTGGTGGATTTGATTTATTTTTTAATAAATAGTTTATATACTTTATAGTAAGACTTATCGATTGTGCGCTTTTTTTGTAACGTACTCAAACAATCTTTTTAAATAAAATTCTAGGTTAAAAACCCTACAAATAAATTAATAATTATTGTGAAAAAGTTGTTCGGTACTATATATTATTATTTTTATTATTTTTAAGTTCTTTGTGACCTTTATTTGAAAAGTAGTTCTATTATAACAGAACATCTATTTCAAATTATTTTATAAATAAATATTGACCGAGAATTTAACAGGTTAAGCGCCACTATTTTTTCAAATGATCTTATTACTTATGTAATTATTCTATCGTTATCACCTGTTTAACGATTTATACTGGTTTCACTCATTGAGTTATTATGTACTACGTACGTACATTATAATTCAATGGTTTTACTAATGATTTAAGCAACACTTAGAGCGATTATAGTCTGCATAGTACGTCTAGATAAAATTATTGAAATTGCCATTTTCAAAAGCTATTATGCTGACGTTATATACATTATTTTTTGTCAAGCGTTTCAAATATTGGGGAATTTAGAATTAAAAAATCTTGAAAAAAATTGATCTAAAAGTCCCTTTCAGCAATATCGTCATGACAATGAATTATTTGCCTAATAATGTACTGAGATGGAATTTACTATTATTTGCAAAATATTTTTGGTGTAGTAATAAAATTGTATATTGAAAAAAAATTTAAATATTGAACACAGTAATTAGTATTATGATGCGACAAAAAGTATTTTATGGCCCTAAATCAATAAAAATATAAAATGTTTAATTTGATAATGAAGATAGGGACTACGATTTTGCAACAGTGAGGCGAAATTAGTTTAAAACTCAGAATATCTTAATGCTTAATACTTACAGTAATGGTAAACGTAAAATAAAGTCGTGTAGCACGATTTATAATATATATATTGTAAATATTGATGTTTGAACCGTATATACAATGTATATACACAACGATGCCTGGCCTTATATTACGGTAAGTTTTATTATTGCTTATAATGATATATTGGCGAAACATCTTACCCCGTAAATAGGATAATGTTAATGGTATTTTTGAGCGACGACAATAACAAAATTTACATTGTATGTTGGTAATTTTACATACTTCATATTATAAAGAATTTGAGTGACAAGAGCGATAATTTGAATGCCATTGAGGAGCGCTATACTTATAAACATAATCATAATGAAGGCAAAACGTAGACATTAAATAAACAAAATACATATTACATATATAATAACTTAATTATACAATTGTTATAAGTACAACTTGTTTTTAATTTATTTATTATCAAGTCAGACTTATAGCTGCAGTTGTATTTATGTATGAATTAAAATGAATAATGAGGATTATCATAAACGCACTTCCACAAGGAGCATTACAAATTGTTACTTGATCGTAGTAGATATTACCTAGCTACAATGTAAAGGCAAGGAGCAAGGACGGGTAGAAAGCGTTTTTCGTTTACTCCCTTCTGAAAATACAGTTCACGGTAATTATTACGTAGTGTCTCAGTCTTATTAACTTCATTCTGCACTGCTGAGATCAAAATCATCTTCACATTTCACTTAAAGAGAATTGTTGTTTTAAAAGAAATAAAAAGAAAGAGATCAAAAGTGCTATTGCATATTATAAATAATTTGTTTTATCAATAAAAATATGTATAAATGGCTTCTTTCCAGAACCTGTAAACTACAAAAAAATTAAAGCACCCAACGTGTCCGACGATCGCCGCATTATAACCACTCTCTTATTACATTCACTTTAGCTATAACTGATGAAAATCCTACATAACAAACAGCTCTAAGTCCGATCTCTAATCGACTCGATCCTGGACATACCCTCTGTTATACTTATTACGATAATATCTCGTGAAGTTTTAACAAATTGGACTTGGCAGAGGCGGTTGGCCCGCCCGCTGGCAAGATCGCGAGGACGTGTTAAGTAGGCATCAACGGAAGTATAAAATTGGTCCATGCGTCGGGTCGGGCCAACGTCACAGGAAGGTCCGCGCGTCGGGGTGGCGTATGCGCGCGATGCGCCGGCAGAAGTGGAAGCGAGCGCGCGACGCAGGCGCACGCGTGCTGCCGGTGGAGGGCGCGGGCGCCTCGGCCGCAGCCGGGGAGCCGTCCGCCAGCGAGCTGCACGAGGCCGACTCGGCGAGCGAGCGCGTCGAGGGCCGGGAGCGGGAAGCGCTCGTCTCGCCCGCCTCACACTACCTGTAAATAATGTTCATTCAATACCGTCTGACGCCTGCTAGTTCCAACTGCTCGTGATGGGATGGATAAATGAATGAACGAATAACTCTGTTTGCTTTGAACAGGTTACAATAGATATAATCATAATCATAAACACTTACGACACAAGACTGTGGGTAGGCAGATACTAAGGCATGTCACTAGGCACGATCCTGACACAGCTCTCTCGCCTCCTTTACATCAATATACCAATATACCAACACATATATGCTAGTCGGTTAAGGGTGCTCTTAATCGGCCCCATCTTTAATATACCGCCAGTTTAGTCGATAAACTTTCGTGTAAGGCGTCCTTTTCCGACTCTGCCATTCACTTCTACAACATAAATTTGCTTTATCCACATTACTCTTATCACACAATTTCTCACTATGTCATTCAGATACAGTCCTAACATACTCCTTAATGACCTCATTTCTTATACTTACTCTCGTGCATCTTTTGCCATACCCAACTATCATTACCATACATTAAATTAGGGACTAACGGACTCGTCTTAATAAATATTTTTGCTTATCAACGACATAACCAATCACTGTCATTATTATGGCGTATTTAAAAAAGTGGATGATACTATTTACAACTAAATTACGCAAATAGTCCCAATAACTAATATTGGTACCACAAAATGGAATCCCTTTCTCTCCATACTTAGACAAGCAAATTTTCTTATATTCTATTTACACTTATTACCTGTGCTTGAGCACTTTTAACTACCGTGAATGCAGCAATAATTTTGCTGCGGTCTTCATAACTTTGGGTCTCTTTGATGTAACACGACTCTTTATTTCACCTCACAGATAAAAGTACGGTAAAAGGTCCGGCGAGTGTGCAGGCCATAGTATAGGGCCTCTGGGCGCAATCCACTCATCTTCATATTCACGATTTAGTAATCGCACACTGCACTTAAATAGTTTACGTAGCTGTCAATTGTTCTTCGATTGGTACATTTACGTTAAATTCTTGCCGCGGTAAAGACCCACTTTCGCATAATCTTTGCGCACCACGTAAATTTTCATTGCTTAAAATGTAACACCGCACCATTTCAGTTTCATAGTATTCGCAGTTCGAATATTTTCGTTCCGTCATTAGTAACGAAACAACACTACCTACGAAAACTTAAAAATAGCACACTCGTACGTAAAAATGTCACGGTCAACACACAGTCAGTCAGTCAAATGTCATGGGAATGGGCAATTAAAAAGAATATATCGATAATTAGGTAGGTATTCTTATTATAATAATATTAGAGCTAGGTATTCTTATTATAATAATGATAAGTAAGTCGTAGTGCTCATGTTACCAACCAACTAGTGTTCGAATTGTTAACAGGTCTACGTCGCCCATAGCAACTCATACATCTTTTTTCAAGCAATAGTGTTCAGCATCCCGCACTCTTGTGGCGGCCCGGAGCATGTACGGTGCAACACCGTGCATTATCCCGCGTCGGCATTTTATTAATTAGACACTTTGCGCGACTGCCCACTTTTATTAATATACTACATTTTTAGTGTTTTTGTTTTTGCCTACGAATACGGTCACGTGACTCAACCTTATATTTTTACTAAGTTTCATACATTGTGAAATCTCAATAAATCTTTGTTTTTTTATCAAGATTGTGTTTAAATCATACATCATCAGACCAAGTAAAGGGTGTGGTATATCAAGACCAAACAATACCTATCTACTGCGATGGACTGGAGTAACGAATCCAATCTTTTTATATATTTTTTTTCTTTGGCGCAGTGGCTTAGCAATGAGTTGTATTTGTCCTTGTGCAATTTATGTGTGTTAACTGCCTTCACGATACAGGGAAAATCCTAGTGTGGGGGGCAAAAAAATTATCGAAAAAAAAAAAAACAAAAAGAATTTTAGAAATTATCGAGGAGGAACCGTGATATGGGATCCTAGAAATCGGGTTTTAAATAAATATTAATAAAAATAAATATTTGCGAGCCTAAAAATATTATGTAGACATAAAGTCGCAACGAGACGCGCGTCACCTATGTTTAAAACATCTACGTTGAATGAATATAGACGAATATGTAAACGCGTCGTACTCGTCCACGAATAACTCGGTGAATAATTCGGCGAGATTTTCGTCCGATATTCAAAACATGCATCATAGATTAACGTCAAGATACCGTACAAGTAACCGAGCCACCCTTAAGAATGTGTAGAGGATTACCACGCATTCTGAATTTAAGAGATAAAAAGGACAGAATGATTGAGATTTTTTTTTCAAAATGCACTCATATTACTTATTCTGACCCTCATCCGCAAATTTGGACATAAATTGCAAAATAACTCTGTATAAATTATATAGATGACAAACGAGCACACAGTCCACCTGATGGTAAAGTGGAAGCTGTGACCTACAGACATTTACATTTATCCTCGATTAAGAATCAAAATATTAGAGAATGCTTCGTTTTCAGTAAAAAGGGCCTCCGTTTCTCTATCCTCACCATACGAAACAAAGTAGCAATATTCTGACATTTTTAGCTGGTATTCTGTGAGAGCGTGGTCTTTCCCCGGTCGAGGAGATCCATTCGTGCCACAACCATAATATAGCTGCAGCATGACCCTTCTGTGTATAAAATGGTATACACATATTAATGTTTAGAATTTACATTCATTCCTTATCTTTTTGTTCTTCATCTTCATTACTGACAACACAGCACTTTCACACAAAACTGATAATATAGATAACCAAAATTTGAAATTCTGTTGAATATAACTTAAGTAAAATATAATTAAAAAAACCGCCGAAACAAAAAGAGCTGATGACCTTCAAACGGCTGAAAAGATTTTCTTGAATCGCAGCTATGACACAATTAAGTCACATTTCAAACAAAAATTTAAATCGATTCAGCCGTGGGTGCTACGATGCCACAGACAGACAGACATATAGATACACAAATATTCACGTCTCTTTCACGTTCGCACGGTGTTATTTACTTTTAACTAGCTGTTCCCCGCGACTACGCCCGCATGGAATTTATAACGATTGGATTCTTTTTCTAAAATAATAATAGCCTTAGTTACTCCTTATAACATCAGCTATCTGCCAGTGAAAGTCCCGTCAAAATCGATCCAGTCATTTCGGAGATTAGTCTGAACAAAAAGGCAGACAGTTATACAAAACTTTTAAAAATTGTTTTTTTGTTATAAGTACCTTATATACTTTCATATGCATTTAGTAAAAAGTTGTTATCTTGGCATTACAAACGGACAATTTTTAATTTATTTGTATAGATTATCCGTACCTGTAGAAAGAGTGCGAGTGCGGCGGCGGCGGCAGAGTGGGTGGAACGGGCGCGTGCGGCTCGGAGGCCGACCGCTGCACGCCCGGCGCGCGCTCCCCGCGCCCGTTCCGCCCCGCGGATTGCTCGCGCTCGCCATTCCAATTCCACTCCCATTGATTCTGTAAAGTTTGAAACTTATATTAAAATCCTCCATCATCATTTTCCTATAACAATCCACTGCCGTTTTGTTGGCGGAAGTTGGAAGATGCATTGGTGATCTTAGTCTTGTGACTTTGTTGTTGCTATTTGGTCTCGGTATTTTCATGTTCGCATTCTACTAGTCGCATTCGTCTAGCATTACTTTATTTAAGTGTTTTCCTCTAGACGCCTCTACGGTGAATTCGGTGGTTGTCTTTTGTTTCGCGCGTCACCACCACACAATCACATTACAAATACAATATGACAGTTATTTAAATCAGTGACAATTGAAACGTACGTCATTCTGAGGCACAGAAAGTGATGCTTTCGGTAACGGCTGCGAAGGAGTGTGGGCCGGTTGCGAGTTATGAGTCGCGACCGGCTCTCGAGCTTGAAGAAGTTGTAGAATGCGACGGACATCCGTTGTAAGTCCATTTTCGAGCAACGCTACTCGTCTACTGAGTTCTTCTAGTCTCGTCAAAACTGTAGCAACGGATGCCGTCGTTGCCGCCGCACCCACATTTTGATATTGAGGTGACATAGCGTCCTGAAATTATAAGAAGTAAAAATGGTTGCTGTTTTCTATTTTCAAGTTTAATATTTGGAAATAACCTTTACAAAATATACCTGTATTGTAGAGGTATTTTGAGTTTTTTCGGCAGTGAAGGGTAAAGCTGTAGGGCGTCCGGCTTGTTGCAAGTTAACAGCCGAATGAGGAGCTGATCGGCACGAGGGAGTGCGCGTAGCAGTCGGTTGTATTGACGGTGCTAGAATGTCATCGCAGGAAACGTGGACGGGGGCGGGCGGCGCGGCGGGCGGGCTCGGCGACGCGTTGGTGTAGTACGAACTCGGATTGGTACTGAGACTGGACACGGGCAATGTGGCGCTGTGCGCCGGCATGCTCACCGCCGGTTCCTCGGCGGCAGCGCCACCAGTCAATGGCGACGTGTCATTGAGAGGACCTACTGACGATTGACGCCTTACACTCGCTCTACCCCGGTAAGTTTGAGGGGTAGATTGGGCTGAAATTGACAGAAAGTTCGCAATAAGTTCTTAAGCAATATACGAACTAAATGATTTTAAGAATGTATTTAATTGTTATGTTTTATAAAAAATATTGTTTAAAATAGTTTATAAAACGATGTACTAGTATACAAATGTTGTTATTGCCGCGTAATGCAGGCGTGAGAGAATCAACGACCCTATATAAACATTCCGTGTGTGTCCTAAAAGGCGACAAAGAGAAACTGAAATTAGGATGGACAGCAGCATTTTTCATAACAACTCATAATAATAAAAAAAAACTGCAGTTGCCTACCTGCCAGCAACTATGGTATATATAAATAGAATAGAGAAATTCTCTATGAGTCAATCTATGCTTATGTTCTTGTTTATGTTATGGATTAGGTTCAGCAGTGGACTTTGGATAGGGTTGTAATGGAAAAAATGTATAAGTATATACTTTTACATTCAAAAATGTAAAATTTAAATTTAAGAAAAATATCAGTTAATCGGTAATTTCATACCAAGGGAACATGCACAATATATAATAGTATGTTATATATGTAAATACTTACAGTATTTGTTGTGTAGCGGCTGATGCGTTTTATGGTGGTAGAGGTCTGGGAAGCTCCGTTTAAGTTGCGCTAGCATGCCTGCACACAAGGGCCGCGCTCAGAGCGGGACAACGGTGACGTAGCAAAGGGCGGAGCGGGTTTATAATATAAATAAAATAGTTTGGCCATGATATCACACAATCGTAATAATAAGTATAGTAATAATAATTAACTCGCAATGCGCTTGCCAACGTTACCGTTTGGACGAGAGAAGTCAAATAAAATTGGGGATCATGAAAGCATAAGTCATGCTGGCATTATCGGTAAAATTATGATAATTCTCGAGACTTGTAAAAATAAAAGCTTCATATTTATCATATTCCTTACTAGACATGAATTTTTTTTATATTATATTATATGTAATATTTATATTTGATATGTGTATTTATTTAAATTATTTGATGCGAATTTATTTATTTATAATTTAAACTGCTCTCAAGTACATATAATTCATTTCCTTAAAAATGCACTTACACCGAAGCTCGTATTTTTACAATGCCGAAGGCCTATTTTGAATAAGAACAAAAAACCCTTTTTATTCCTATAGAAGTTCTTAAAAAATGGAAATAAATAATAAACACTTCAACACAAACTAGGGATAGTTGAGATATTCATGTATTGAACTCAAAGACATTTAAGTAGTAGTAGTAATAGACCGGACATCAGCAGCAAAATTGTCGTCTGTAACTTATGTCCTATAGGATATATCTCCGATTTTTGTCATTTAGTCTTAGTGACATCGTCAAATAGTTAAAAAGCATTCGTTTCATATTTTTTAAAAAATATTTTTAAAGAAAATATGCCCGGTTGTGCATTAAGATATTGTAAGCCACGATATGGAGCAAAAAATGAACATGATTTCGTTTTATTGTCGTAAATATAACATATATTTACCGCATAATACCTTTAAATTTTATTATTTCTAGTAGATTGTTCTAGAACATTTATTTTTATTGTAATAAGCGCCCTCTGTTATCCAGTAAACGTCACTATTTAGTTACCAATGTTAAAAAATATACAGGATGCCGATTTAATCCTTTACAATACTGTACCCATACCAACAAAAATGAGTAGCATATACCAACTATACTAAGTAGCCTACTTTATGTGGAGCAAGGGTGGAAAATTTTTTTAGACATGCTGATAGATTTTCTGTGTTGCTTATGAGCATGCTGAGGATACTTGCTGTGTTGATGTTTAGCAATACAGCAAGTCTTCTCTTTTACATACCAGGCTTCATTGTCTGGTGGTTTTACACCGGTCTTCATTGTCTGGTGGTTTTCAAGGACAAAGCCATTATAGATCCTCGCTTACAGTGACAGGAGAGGGCTATAGGTTTCTTACATTAAAAACGATTTTTACTGTTAAAGATATTAGATGCAAGAAGTTGTAGGTTAAGCCTGAGTTACAAAATAAGGTAAAAATTTAAATAACCATTTTATTGATGTGGGTAGTGTCTTTAAGTACTGCAGCTGATGAAACGTGAAAAATCGTCAAACGGCTTTTAAGTTCAGTGTTTTCCTAAAATATTTTAGATTTGAAGTGTATTTTTGTAATAGAAACGAATTTAAAACATAGAGGCGCTCTCTTATTTTATTAGGCGTTTCTCGATATGTCTTTAACACCGACCGATCAATCATATGCTATTATTATAGCAGCTAATGGCGAGCAACCGACCGACCGAGTGACGTCATCCAAGACGCCACCAAGGTGGCCACCAAAGTGATTGCTGTTTGAATTGATTCTTAGTTATTGGAAAGTAAACATTTTATTTCATGACACTAAAGAGGCGTAAAAAGTTAATATGATTTTTCGTGTGACGGAAGTCGTGATAAATAGATTTATACAATAAAACAATCATGTATATTCCCTATTATAATATCGAAAAGCATTTCAAACTTAGTAATCTTCAACAACACTATCGATACTTTGTTATCGAAATGGTAACATTCCTAAAACGACGTTATATTTATTAGCGTCACCTACTAGGGAATAGCTAAAATGTTGTCTTAATAAATGCTTAGCGTTGGTTTGCTGTTTTTAGCTAGAGGGTGCCACAGCGCACTAGCTCAAAGTTTTTGTATATAAATGTTCCCAAGGCCCGCTCTATAGTATACCTATATATTCAAATCTCTTTGATTGAACTGATATTAGCAGCAGTTATTGCAGTAAGTACTATTTTATACTGTAACAGGAATATAAATGAAAATTTTAATAATTTCAGAGGCTTAAAAATATTTTTATATCTATATCTTATCTATATAAATAAAATGATAGAGGTTTGCAGTTGTGCGCGCATTACGGAAAAAGTACTGGATATATTTCAATTAGGTTTTCTAAGTTTTATTTCTTAGACACTTGGCCTTATCTAAAAAATGCGATATCTTTATTAAATATAAAGTTATTAAAGTTTTAAGAAACAACGATTTTTATAAGCACGTGTTCAGTGATGTGTGAAAGCAACGCGGACGAAGTCACGGGTATCAGATAGTTAAAAATAAAAAGTTGACCTTGTACTAAAATAAGATTTTCTGTATAAGGTAACTAAACTTGGAAACAAAATTAAATTAAATATTAAATTTCCTAAAAAATAACCATTAGTAATCCGTAAAAGCATCTCGGATGTTGGTAAAGCATCTGCCAGGATTATTCATGTTTAAAAAGAGGTTAACAATATCCCGAACGAAGATGCATGCATCATCCACTGTCACCAGATTTTCGGAAAAATTTCATAAAGCTTTCGTTGAAGCATAATATCCCTCGCATGCTTCATAGTTGGATATAAATTCGGGGACTCGGCAGGCCAACTCTGGGTCGTCACTCGCCACTTTATGTTGCAGCTATACCGCCGTGCATTGCCGACTTTTTGACATTTTGGCAAAATTGATTTTGAAACATTACTACTATGTAGAAGAAAAGTCATAATTACTGATCTTGTCGATGTTTTTCTATTTTCGTTTTCGCGATACTAAGATTATAACGTAAAAACCTTATTTTAATTTTAATAAAAATTTTGTATCTAAAATAACACATTTACTTATTTTTTATGCAAACTTAGAATTATTGCATCTAACTATTTGCGTTTTAGTTTATACAGTAAAATAATGAGAAAAAGCTAAAATACCGTATGTTAAAATTTTACGCATTTTAATCAATTACATTGACGAATAAAACCTAAATTGTACGAGTCTAAAAGAGAGTATATCGAAACATATGTACGTTATTTAAGTTAAGAATACTAATACATATAAATATTTTACTAAATGCTATCTACATTGCCACTAAATGCTATCTACATTGCCACTAAATGTTAACAGCGAAGTCATATGGCAGTATGTACGACCACAAACATACGTCTTTTCGAAATATTGTACAGAATTTGGATCTTTCTATGCTTGTGAAACATTTACCTGGGTAATAGAGAAATACAAATTAATTTTCATTGTGATGAAACTCTAAATCTCTAAAATATAACGAATAACGTTCTTATTTTTATACAAGCAGATAGATGTCATACCACCCTATAATGTGTATTAAAAAGTTTTTAGCATAGCGTCACAATTTTTTGAAAATTGACATTCCGCGTTTCTTCAAGGGAGTAACTACATTTATTCACCTCCATTCGCATTTTGCCACAGCAGTGACACTCTCTGTACGTGAGAGTTCAAGTGCCGGTGACATTGAGCCGGAGCGTGTAACGCTAGGGTTGATACCGAACCGAAATGGAATATTATAGACTTTTGCCAAAGAATAGATACATAGGCAGTGAAAGATACGATAAATTTGAAATCAACTTTTATTAAATATCTTTACAGATGGGGAATATTAAAATTTCCGACAAAACAAAATATGCACGACAGTTAATGGTAATCTTAAATAATTAACCAACACTTAGTATTTCAGTACGCAATAATCAGCATTACTACCCTTTAAAAATTACTTACTCTTATATATTTTTGGCTTGTTCGATGACTTTTATAATTTTTATTATTATTTCTAACAATTGCAAAAATTCGTAGCCTTACGTATAATTATTTTAGAAAATCCATAGGGAAGCATAGATAGATAGATAGATAGATAGATCACACTTTATAGATAACATAAATATTAACAAAAAATGAGAAAAAGAAATGTGGTACAATGGGTGGTCTTATCACTAAGAGCGATCTCTTCCAGACAACCTTTGGATGGACAGGATGGCAAGAAAACAATAAAAACGTGTGTGGTTTGGCGACAAAAATAACATTATTTTTATTAAAGCCATAAAATAGAAATATAGAATGGTACATAAGTACATAGATAAGATAAATACTACATGCATATTAATAGGTCGGAGCGTCTATAAAATATCACGTGGATCGAGTTGGACATGAGGGTATATCGAGAAACTCCCACTTGTTTGTGCAGTATAAAGTTCACTGTAGGTGCCGTGCGCGAGAGATTCCGCTTAAGTCATTCAACGAGTGTGGTCATTCTACTTAGTGCTAAGATAGTGTTGTGGTTCTGTTCGTTGTTGTAATTCTTCTAGTGCAGGCAACGAGGATTGGTGTTGCTGAGAGGCTGCCCTGTGTTACATTGAGATAAGTAGTGTTGCCTTTGGTTTATATATTTTGGTGTTATCATGTAATTACGTACCTCACGTTACACGTTGCAATTTGAACATCCGCTCTCACACTTTTATTATTTTTAACAATTAACGCTATCCTGATGTATTTCTGAGATCAAAATTGTGATCCTCTGTTGTATAAATATATATTTTTATAAATATAAATATATAAAAGTACAAATATATACTTTAAAACTATTACATATAACATAAATGTGGCATACATATAAACAAATATTGTAACTAAATAAAGGTAGAATAATTATATACAAATGAATAGGCATTATTTTTGTATAAAGCGCAGTCAGTCTGTGCTTGTGTGCGGTGCATGAGATTAGAGAGACGAGATGCGAACAACAACTACGTGTTAGCCCTCGGCCAGGGCAGCCGGCGACGGCTCGTTCCACGCCCCGCGCGCTTCTCAAGGCCCCCG